GGGAAGTTATTGTTTTGTTCCACACAGCAAAGGGGCACAAGCTTTAGGTTGGGGTCCTCCTGGAGGTCGGGCCCCCCAGATAGCATATGAACACGTGATAAGCCATGTTTGGTTTTTTTTACTACAGGAAATTAGCTTTAAAACTGCAACATTTTCTCTCAGACTCATAATAATAATAATCAGTTGTATGACTGAATGAGACATTATTTTCTCAACACTTTTGTAGTCAGAAAGCTTGTTGTCTTAGTAGGATTCTCATTCCTTCACCATTTAATTATGGGTAGTGGACAGGCATAACCTGTAGGATGGATCAGGGAAGTGTTGAATTCACAGAGAGACCTTTGATATGTTATAGCTGGACTGAGGGTGGAACACCATGGTAACCACAGTTGGTCATTCATTAAAGGCTTTGTGTGACACATTACCTGGTAACTAGGATGTTGGCAATATAAAAATAGACTGCTTACACAAAACCTCAACCTCAGCGTTACAAATTGTAGACCATAAATATGTATACTGTAAACTGTTATATAGTGTAACTTTATCAATTTCAATGTTGTAATTTTTCTTACACTTTATGAATAGCTATTCCAGCTCTAAACTACAGTACCAGTCAAAAGTTTGGACACACCTACTCATTCAAGGGTTTTTCTTTATTTGTACTATTTTCTACATTGTAGAATTATAGTGAAGACATCAACACTATGAAATAACACATATGGAATCATGTAGTTAACAGAAAAGTGTTAAACAAATCAATATATATTTTATATTTGAGATTCTTCAAATAGCCACCTTGTGCCTTTATGACAGCTTTGCAAACTCTTGGCATTCTCTCAACCAGCTTCACCTGGAACGCTTTTCCAACAGTCTTGAAGGAGTTCCCACATATGCTGAGCACTTGTTGGCTGCTTTTCCTTCACTCTGCCATCTGACTCATCCCAAACCATCTCAATTGGGTTGAGGTCAGGGGATTGGATTCTTCTTATTGATGGCCTTTAGTAGGGGTTTCTTTGCAGCAATTCGACCATGAAGGCCAGATTCACACAGTCCCCTCTGAACAATTGATGTTGAGATGTGTCTGTGACTTAAACTCTGTGACAGATTTATTTGGGCTGCAATTTCTGAGGCTGGTAACTCTAATGAACTTATCCTCTGCAGCAGAGGTAACTCTGGGTCTTCCATTCCTGTGGCGGTCCTCATGAGAGCCAGTTTCATCATAGCGCTTGATGGTTTTTGCGACTGCACTTGAAGAAACTTTCAAAGTTCTTGAAATGTTCCGGATTGACTGACCTTCATGTCTTAAAGTAATGATGGACTGTCATTTCTCTTTGCTTATTTGAGCTGTTCTTGCCATAATATGGACTTGGTCTTTTACCAAATAGGGCTATCTTCTGTATACCACCACTACCTTGTCACAACACAACTGATTGGCTCAAAAGCATTAAGAAGGAAATAAATTCCACAAATTAACTTTTAAGAAGGCACACCTGTTAATTGAAATGCATTCCTGGTGAGTACCTCATGAAGCTGGTTGAGAGAATGCCAAGAGTGTGCAAAGCGGTCATCAACGCAAAGGGTGGCTATTTGAAGAATCTCAAATATAAAATATATTTTGATTTGTTTAACACTTTTTTGGTTACTACATGATTCCATGTGTTATTTCATAGTTTTGATGTCTTCACTATTATTCTACAATGTAGAAAATAGTAAAAATAAAGAAAAACCCTTGAATGAGTACGTGTGTCCAAACTTTTGACTGGTAGTGTAAGTCTGTTACTGATGACCAATTAAACAAGGAAATTGGTGGAGAAATCATGCTCATTATGGTAATATCATCTCATTCCTGGCATTGGGAAGTTATTGTTTTGTTCCACACAGCAAATCCTTTAACAGATTACACCTTAAAAAAGGCTGCTGAACACGATAGCCCTGTTGGTGTTACTACAGGAGAGTAGGAAAAGTGAAACAGCATGATGTAAAAGTAGTCACAACGTGATAATGATTGGGTATATTGTGATGATACTACTGTAGATTAAGATCACAGCACAACCCTTACAAAAAAAGATAGCAGTTTTGAAACTGAAGTAAAAGTACAGTAACTGCAGTCGACTGCGGTAGTAAAAAAAAAAAGGTGTTATTTTGGATGCAGCATTTCCAGCATACTGCAGTTATACTGCACTTTCACTGCAGTCTTTTTTCCTAAGGGAATATTTTGCATGTTTGTTTTAATGGAAAAGCAAACACCAACACACAAAAGGTACAGTCAAAGCCAGAGAAACAGTTTTACTGAGTTTACATGTCTCCTAATTGAGTCAAAATTTCTATGCAGATTATATCCTCCTGTTGTATTTGTTTGTATTAATTTGACTTATTTTCACAATATTTTTGTATAGGCTACATTTTATATTTCATCATTCATGATTCATGACATGCATTACGTCATCAATATTACTGGAACGTAGAAGAATAAGTTAATGTGGGAACTTCCTGTTTGTCTCAGGTGAGACCTGATATTGGGAGGTCATTGTTTGCGGATGATGGAGTGCTGTGGAAGAGAGGGAGAAACATTACCCATACAGCCAGAAGAGTTCAAGAAGCGATTAGTGAAGTTGAGCAGTGATCCCTCAGGTGGGGCGTCAAGTTTTCAGCTGAGAAAACACAGACTGTGTTTTTTTCTAGAAGGAAGGTTGGGGAGGAAAGTTGTATGGAAGGAATCTGGAGGGTTTAGGTTCCTGGGGGTCTGGTTTGACACTCGAATTACATGGGCGGAGCATATTAACAGAGTAGTTGTCAAAGGAAAGAAAATATTGAATGTGATGCATTGCTTGTCAGGAATAGAGTGGGGGGGGGGAGGGGCAGATAGAATGGCGCTGAAAATTGTATATATATAGCGCTTTTAAGGTCATCAATGGATTATGGAAGTATAGCATATGGATCAGCAGCTCAGACATCTTTAAAAAAGCTAGATGTTATCCAGGCCCAAGCCCTAAGAATATGTTGTGGAGCACTCAGGACCTCTCCGGTGGCAGCAATGAAGGTAGAGTTGGGAGAGATGCCGTTAAAGCTAAGAAGACAACAGCTAGCCATGACATATTGGGTAAATCTACAAGGACATAAGGTTACACATCCTACAAAAGATGTGCTCCTAGAGTGCTGGGAACATGAACAGAATCTGAATACAAGATTTGGGTAAATAGGCAATTGCATGGTGAGAGAGATGGGGTTGTTTGGGAGGAAGTTCAGCCGCTCTGTGGTTCTTCCTGCTATCCCACCTTGGTTTCTTCCTCAACCAGTGATAGATCTAGGGTTGCTTGAGAGGGTAAGAGATGTTGAGGAAGGAGTAGATTCAGTTGTAAGTGAACATTTAAGAACACAATACTATGCTTTCTTGAATATATTCACAGATGGATCTAAGGACCCTAAAACAGGGAGGACAGGAGCAGCTTTTAGTGTTCCTGAGTATAAGGTGGCAGTGACGAAAAGAGCAACGGATCATTTATCTGTTTACACAATGGAGTTGTTGGCCATACTATTGGCTGCAGAGTGGGTGGAGGTGGTGAGGCCAGACAGGGTAGTCATCTGCTCTGACTCCTGTGCAGCACTGATGAGCTTAAATTCATGTGTGTCTCAGAGCAGACACAATGTATTGTATGAGGTTTTACAGTGCTTGTATAGGGTGAAACAGATGGGGATATTTGTTATGTTCCTCTGGGTACCAGCTGATGTGGGAGTAGAGGGGAATGAGGAAGTGGATATTATTTCCAAACAGGCTCTTAAACATCCTAATGTTGAGATATAATTGTCAATCAGTAAAGCAGAAGCCAAGGGATTAATAAGAACAGTGGTTAAAAATAAGTGGCAAGAGTTGTGGAACAGGGAGAGTAAGGGAAGACCCCTGTATAAGATCCAGGAAAAGGTGGGGGCAGGGAGGTCCTCAGGCCGAGAGAGAAGGGAGGAAAGTGTAGTCACAAGGCTGAGACTGAGACACACAAGGTACATTGAAATTGGTGGGGAAACATCCGACTGGGAGGTGTGATCATTGTCAGGAGGAGATGGAGACAGTGGAACATGTTCTATTTCAGTGCCAGAAATGTATGAGAGAAAGGGAGCGATAGTTATTAGATTTGAGGAGTAATGGGGTTGAAGAGCCAGGATTAAGTGAACTGCTGGGGAAATCTTCAGGGGATGTAGTATTTAATTATGTATTTCGTTTCCTTAGGGAGACGAGATTATTGGGTAGGATTTAGACCTTCACTGTCTCTGGTCCACACTCCAGTCCAGTTGGTGGCGGTAATGCACCTTAAAGTTGGTTGCCAACCGCCATGTAAAAATCAACAGAAGGAGAAAAATAAGAACTTCCTGTTTGTAGTGTGACAGGAAGTGATTAAAAAACATTGGAAGGAACGAAAATATTCTGAGATCTTCTGTTGAAAATGTCAACATAGTCCGTAAGTAAGTTCACATATGATATTTAGCTAACACTGTTTATTACAGTAATGTTTAGAGAGTATGTCAATTGTATCAGAATTTGTACAAAGATAAAGGGCTAGCATTTGGTAATTAACTAACGTTTACGCACAGACAGAGGGGGTGGGGGGTTAGTTATAAATATCTTTGGTGTACGTCTCTTTCCAATGTTGGAAATCCCAGTTAGCTAGCTAACGTTATTAAAACATTGCTTGCCAGCTAGTTTTGTAATGTCATGTTAGGTATTTGACACAAACACACTAAATATTTCCCACTTGAAGCTAGCTGTCTAGCTAAATAGTATTGTTAGTCATATTGAAATTGGAAAAATAGTGCCAACTGAAGCTTGTGCCAGAATTAATCCAGTTTGGTTGTAATGATGTTGTGAACTAACTAGTTAACTAAACCTGCTGTTAGAAGGACTGTTTTGGCTATTTAGCTATAACACTACCTGCTGTTTTTTTTGGTTCTAGGTGGTTTGAGACTGGTGTGGCAGCACTACCTACCTTGTGTCCAGCAGCCAGATCACCATGGCGAAGAGGAGGAGCCTGTCCAACCTGGTGGTGTCTTGTAAGTGGGCGTCCTGCACCTTCAAAGGCCACTGCATGGAGGAGCTCAGCGAACACATGTCACTGCACCTGAAGGATCACCTAGGAGACAGAGATGCTATGGAGGAACTAGGTGGGTTGGTGAGAGGACTGGCAGATGACAACTACACCAGTGTCTCAGTATTGTCCCAATAGCTTCCTTTCCCTAGTCTTTTCCGTCAGGTGAAAGCAAATGTATTATTTGGAATCTTTCCGGCCCCTACAGTCTGTCGGTGATTGCAAGGGAAAGTAGTCAAGGACAGGAAGCCTTTGAAAAGTACTGAGACACAGTTGATTATATGCTGATCAGAATATCACTAACAGCACCTACTGCCTTTCGCCAGATAACGTGTGTTGTGTTGCTCCCTCCAGATGACTATGCGTGTCTGTGGGAGGGCTGTGAGTTCCTGGCTATGGGCAGCCCCAGGGAGCTGGAGATCCACGCTCACTTCCACACCTTCCACAACAAACTCAAGTTTATCGGGGAGCAGCTGCTCAAGTCCCACCCCAACTTCCCCAGCTGCACCCAGGACCTCCACAGCAACAACCTGGTCCCTGAGATCTCAGAGGGATTCGTGTGCCAGTGGGAGCACTGTGATGTAAGTTAATAATACAATGGGGGTTGATTCTGCATCCCACTGTTTGACATCTCTCTTATAATCCACTGCCACCCTCAGTGACTCTTTGTATGTGATATACTTAATTTTTGTTGTTGTCTTTTGCTATAGAGTACATTTAACAACCCTGAGTGGTTCTATCGGCATGTGGACATGCACGCTCATTGCACTGGGCTCTCTCCTCTCCCAGACCAGCAGCAGGCCATCTTCTGCAGCTGGAAAGGTACTGCTAGGGGCAAGGAAGGGATCACATTATACTGTATCAGCACAGCCTTTCCTGCTGTAGTGCTGCATTGAATACACTGTATGTTTTGTTGGCCAGCTTCAGCTGATACCCTCGTCATGTGTTTCCACAGGTTGTGATGCATTCTTTAAGATCAAGTACCGTCTGCGGGAGCACCTGCGCAGCCACACTCAGGAGCGTCTGGTGGCCTGCCCCACCTGCGGCTGCATGTTCTCCAGCAACACCAAGTTCTTCGACCACATCCACAGACAGGCCGAGCCAGAGGGTGAATGGGCTCAGCTCTGCCTGGCCAGAAGTCACTGTTTTACAGCTCATAGGCATATATGTTATTGGCTTAGCTTTTAATTTCATTGAATGCCCTCTGATTCTTGCAGAGTCACTGGTGTGTGAGCATTGTGACAAAGGCTTTGCCAATGAGAGACTGTTGAGAGACCACGTACGACAGCATGGTGAGTGTGCTGTTCTCCACCACTTCTCTGTTCAGTATTATTTAGCTCATTTTCCATGTCTGGCTTCGACATGTACATCTATTAGTCAAGCAGATTTAATTTAGTTGTAGTGCTATCAATAGGGTTTGTCAATAAGATATTTTGATCGGCTGATGATGGCTGTTGTCTGTGTCCAGTTTCTTTCACTGTAAACCTTGAGTGATCTATCCTCTGCCTCTCCCAGTGAACCATATCAAGTGTCCCCTGTGTGACATGACCTGCACCTCTCTCGCCACTCTGAAGATCCACATCAAGTTCCGCCATTGTGACGAGCGACCCTTTCCCTGTGACTTCTGTGAGAGCAGGTTGTTGTCCCACAGACTCATCAGACTCCCCACAACTTGCTGACCCTTATGGACTGTATACATATTGTGTACATTATTTTGCTTACACTCTGTTGTTTATGATGTATGTCTCCCAGCTTTAAGAACCAGCACGACCTGCGGAAGCACATGGAGACCCATAATGAGGGGGCGGCCTACCACTGCTCTGTAGAGGGCTGTGACTACTCCTCCCGCATGGCCCACACCATGAACCAGCACTACAGGAGAGTACATGAGGTACTTCAGACTGCCTGCAGGGGGCGCCAAACACTCATTCAGTGCTCAATAGACCTACAGAATCAAGATCAGTGTCAAAGCTAGACTTTTTCATTTGCAAAAACGCTTTTGGGTTTGTGGAATTTTGATCAAGTGTACTGTACTTGACACTTGTATAATTCTCCTCTGTAGGGTGGAATGGTCTCGAAATACAAGTGTCATCTCTGTGACAAAACCTTCTCTTGGTGTTACACACTCACTCTTCACTTGCGCAAGAAACACCACTTGAAATGGCCCTCTGGACACTCCCGCTTCAGGTATGAACAACACTTAATCTTTCCCTTATGTGATGAGTTAACATGAGTTAGTCAGTTTTACCATAAGGTGGTGGTTGTTGATTATTTGGCTCCACAGATACAAGGAGGATGAAGATGGCTACCTGAGGCTGAACATGGTGCGTTATGAGACAGTGGAGGTGACTCAGGAGATCATGAAGAACATGGCTAAAAAGAGGACGCTCCATAAGGGCCGCGGGTCCAGCAGCCGAGCCAAGAGAGCTGCCACCCGGGCAGACAGGAGTCACGGCTCTCCCCCTGGCTCGTCCTCCCCCTCCTCTTGCTCCTCCTCTTCCTCAGAGCTCTCTGCAGGGGAGGAGACGTCAGCCCAGCCCAGCCCCAGGGGCAGTGACTCACCTGTGTACTGTGTCCTGAGTAACGTGTCTGATATGGGGGATGACCCCGACGCCACCCGGGATGGCTCTGACTCCTGCGGGCCCTCAGGTGCTGTGAGGGCCCTGACTGAGGTGGCCAGGGGTCTGGGGATGGATGTTGTGTGATCACACACACTGACCATCCTTATTCTAGTGGCCCAAGTAAACTCTTGATGCTGCCACCATTGTTGTCTCCAACCTTGATCCTGTAGACTGAAGTAATGATACCAACTTGAATTGTATCTCAATGAATAGGGATATTCCAGGCGATCAATGCAGCCTTTCATATCTAACACACTATGTCATTCCTTTAGGAAACGAGCACTTGGCTTAAAAAAAAAAATACAGATCCAGTATCTTCTCAGGACCAGTGTTGGAGACCACTAATGTAGCATTACTGAATCACTCCAATGTTACAGCTGTGCTGTATGTATGATGGCTGGGCTTAACCTGGGATGGACTGTTTATTAAAGTTCACTAAACGTTAGTATCTCTGGGAGAGATTTGACAAGTTGACAAGAATGTGAAGATTGTGTTAGTGCTTACTAGCCTGATCAAATGTTTTTATTTGTTAGTGTTTTACAGTATGAGCTTTAATGCGGTGAGGGCGTTAGCAGCTTCAGTTTAGTGCAGCCTCAGAATGTGACCCCATTGACAGCAGTTTTGAAATAACCTCAGGTTTGTAGTGTAGAAGTCTGTCAGATCATGTTTTTGAAACTCTTTTCCATTAAGTTATAGGTCTTAGGTTTTCCTTTATGGTCACTGGATATTCTGATTCCATTAATGCCATAGCATTTGATTTGACATAGTTCTTGTTTGTTTTTTAGATTTGCTAAGTTTTGTCAGTTATTTAAATTTTTGTATGTCCATTTTAGGAACATTACAAACTCATAAGTTAACATTTTATGAACTCATTTGGTGGATCGCACTTTTATGTTGAACAATATCATTGTTCATTCATTTACAGGTGTTTTAAAGGATGTAAATAAATTTAGAGTTTTTCAACACAGTTTGTCCTTTATCTGTGTCATACAGGTAGTAATCAGAATCACAGAATTTGTCTTAAAGCAGTACATTGCTGAGTTACAGTTCTAAGGCAAGCAAGCACACAGAGTAGGGTCTTCTGATTTCTGTCATTAAGAGGCAGTCCTGTGGGGAGCGCCAGACAAGGGGACCAGAGGCGGCAGTGTGCTTAAGGACCCAGGGGGAAGAGTTTTGTTGGGGAGGCTACTCTGGGGGCTCTGTGAGACCCACCCTGGAGATATGTGACCCGGAATAGGTGGAGGTCAGGAGGCTAGGATAGGGGAGATGGCCGCCCAAGGTGGCAGAATGGAGGCTGTGCTGGTAGTATTCCTCTCTGAGCATGTGCAGACGGTCCCTCTCCATGAGGTAAGCCCTCCACTGCTGCTTCAGGGGTGAGGGGGTGGGTGTGGAAAGCTGTGATGAGGGTCTCTGTATGACCATTCTGCTGCCTCCAACAGCCTGGCCCCCACCACACCATGTAGAGGATCAGCCCTCATGACCAGCTCTTGACAGGAGGAGACAGGGAGGTCCATACCTCTGTATACATCCCACGGTGGGTCTCTTAGGGGGTCCCAGGGACGTGCAGGGTAAAGGTACCTCTCAGCTCCTGAGTAGGGGATGAGCCGCATAACAGGAGTGCCAACCTGAGTCCGGGCCAGATTACATACACTATTTATTGGGTAGAGCGCTGGAATAATGTTCCCAATGGTCATGTGCTGCATCGATATGGCGGATGGTGTGTGTATTGTAGGGGTCAGGGATGGTTTCTCTGTGGGGTCCTTGGGTTGAGGGCCGTCATTGAAATCCTCCTGGTCATCCTCTCTCTGCCGCTTCATCTTCTTGGCCTTTATGTAGTTCTCCCACTCAAGCCCTCTCTTCCTGTCACCTGATTCCCAGCTATAGCTGCCATTGGACCGCTGACCAGGTTCCAAGGTCATTGTCTGAGGAAGAAACGTATCTTTAGCAGGTGAATTGTCAAGAGTCCCTGCAACATTGTGGCCTTGGTGTTTCGCCACTATGTACTGTTTCTCCTCCTCCATCTTTTCTCGGGGTTGGTGCAGCTGCTGTCCCCATTCCCTCTCATTGAGTGTGTCCCTGTTCTGAGGTTCCCTGGTTGAATCTCTTCCTGGTTGTTCAGGTTCTGTAGAGCGTTCAGGTTGGCATACAGAGGACGGGGGTGTCTTCTGCTGCCTGCTCCACCACTCAGGAGTTCCTCCTACTTCTCCACTTGGTGCATTTGTATTGTCTGTGGGATAGTCTATTTTTAAGAGGAGGAAGAATAAGCAAGTCAAAAAAAAATTAGTTTCAAAAGGCAATTCCCTCCTTTATGATTATATTGTCTTGAACATAATACTGAACCCACACTGAAGGGAGACTGAAGGTGCTACTCACTTAGTGCTAGGTTTGCCATTCCACCAAAGGCTGTGACACTCAGTGTCCCCAAACTGTGTGACTCCGGAGCAGGAGAACAATGGGAAAATGCTATGTTGAGTCATTTCTCTCTGTGTTAGATTACAGTACTATAGTTTAGACAAGTCATCTTTTTAAGGAGGTTTAGTCTTTGGTCCCTGTCCTCACCTGGGTTAGAGAGTGGGGTAGAGGACTGAATAAGGTCCCGCTGATGGTGGATGGCTTGAATCAGGTCAGGACCAGGAGGCTGAGTCAGTAACTCCGGCTTGATACCGAAGCTGATTGCATGTGAGTCCACTTGCATCTTCTGCTGAGAAATGGAAGGACAGACAGACAGAAAAATTGCGTCAGTTATAATGTGTGGTTTAGATACAAATAATAATTATCGGGTTTTATACACATTTTAGTGGATGTTCAACACTATCCATACCTTCACTCTCAGCTTATGGTGGTGGATCTGCCATGCAATGCGGACATGCATTGTATGCCATCTTCCTGGTCTCTGAGATAACAACCAGTTCAATAGGTCAAAATAGAAACAGATCTCAAAACACTTTTCAAATGAGAACCTTTTGGCAATACTGTATATGTATTAAAATAATCTAAAGGGTACTCACTCCAGTCCTAGGTCCAGGTGCCATGTCTAGAACGTTTGACGTCTGACAAAGATAAGGAAATGTAGACTGCTGATCACACACTAGTAACTCATGACATCAAAACGTGATGATACCTAAATACTATATATTTTGCCTCAGCCCCAACTTCCTAGTTCCCATTATTCTCTTTTCCACTGGTACCTGGGGAGGGCATGCCTTTGGCTGGAAGGCCCCCTGCTGAACATTTATTTTAATGCTGCTCTTTAATTAATTTTAATTTTTTACTTATCTATTTTTTACTTAACACTTGTTTTTCTTGAAACTGCATTGTTGGTTAAGGGCTGGTAAGTAAGCATTTCACTGTAAGGTCTACACCTGTTGTATTCGGCACATGTTGCAAATAAAATTTGATTTGATTTGAAATAGCCCATATTAATATACATATGTAGCCTTAGAAATAAGGTTCATACAATCAATAACTTGCTAACATCAGATAACATTCATACATTGCATTCAGAAAGTATTCAGACCCCTTCACTTTTTCCACATTTTGTTGCCTTATTCTAAAATGGATTAAAATAATTTTTTCCCTCATCAATCTACACACAATAACCCATAATGACAAAGCAAAAACATAAATACCTTACTTCATAAGTATTCAGACCCTTTGCTATGAGACTCAACATTTTTGGAAAGGCACACACCTGTCTATATAAGGTCCCACAGTTGACAGTGCATGTCAGAGCAAAAACCAAGCCACGAGGTCGAAGGAATTGTCCGTAGAGCTCCGAGACAGGATCGTGTCGAGGCACAGATCTGGGGAAGGGTACCAAATCATTTCTGCAACATTGAAGGTCCCCAAGAACACAGTGGCCTCCATCATTCTTAAATGGAAGATGTTTGGAACCACCAAGACTCTTCCTAGAGCTGGCCGCCCAGCCAAACTGAACAATCGGGGGAGAAGGGTCTTGGTCAGGGAGGAGACAAAGAACCCTATGGTCACTCTGACAGAGCTCCAGAGTTCCTCTGTGGAGATGGGAGAACGTTCCAGAAGGACAACCATCTCTGCAGCACTCCACCAATGAGACCTTTATGGCCAGACGGAAGCCACTCCTCAGTAAAAGGCACATGACAGCCCGCTTGGAGTTTGCCAAAAGGCACCTAAAGACTCTCAGACCATGAGAAACAAGATTGAACTCTTTGGCCTGAATGCCAAGCATCACGTCTGGAGGAAACCTGGCACCATCCCTACGGTGAAGCATGGTGGTGGCAGCCCCATGCTGTGAGGATGTTTGTCAGCGGCAGGGACTGGGAGACTAGTCAGGATCGAGGGAAAGATAAACAGCGCAAAGTACAGAGAGATCCTTGATGAAAACCCTCTACTCTTTTCAATTTTTACCAATGACCTGCCACTGGCATTAAACAAAGCATGTGTGTCCATGTATGCTGATGATTCAACCATATATGCATCCGCAACCACAGCTAATGAAGTCATTGAAACCCTTAACAAAGAGTTGCAGTCAGTTTTGGAATGGGTGGCCAGTAATAAACTGGTCCTGAACATCTCTAAAACTAAGAGCATTGTATTTGGTACAAATCATTCCCTAAGTTCTAGACCTCAGCTGAATCTGGTAATGAATGGTGTGGCTGTTGAACAAGTTGAGGAGACTAAATTACTTGGTATTACCTTAGATTGTAAACTGTCATGGTCAAAACATATAGATTCAGTGGTTGTAAAGATGGGGAGAGGTCAGTCTGTAATAAAGAGATGCTCTGTTATTTTGACACCACACTCCACAAAGCACTGACACATACACTTACCCCACCAGAAATGCCACCAGAGGTCTTTTCACAGTCCCCAGGTCCAGAACAAATTAAAGGAAATGTACAGTATTATACAGAGCCATGAGTGCATGGAACTCCCTTCCATCTTATATAGCGCAAATTAACAGCAAACCTGGTTTCTAAAAACAAATAAATCAACACCTCACGGCACAACGCCTCTCCCCCATGTGACCTACTTGCTGTGTGTATGTACTGACATATGTGTAACTGATAGATGCACAAACACTACATGAATCTTTTTAAGTGTATGTA